GATAACTAAGAAGCATGTTGATAACAAGGCTATTCCTATATCAACAATATACTTCTGATAACTGCTGTAAAATTCTGTACAGGAGAGGGGTGCCTGGGTGGCTCAGGTATGATCTCACAGTTCGTGATACCAAGCCCCATGTTGAGTCTTTTTTTTTTTTTTGTATTTAAATAAAAAGGTAAATAATCCAGAAAAAATTTTTGAGAATTTATATTGTGATTTTTATGTATATACTGTAGAGGAGAAAAATAATTTTCCCTCTATTCTTCTAAGTTCTCAGCTGAGGCTCCTGTAACAAAAGACAGATAACAGGAGAAAAACAAACAAATTTATTAACTTGTATCTCTCACATATACACGGCAAACATGAGTAACTCAAAGAGATGGCTTAGAATGCAGGCTTAAATGCCACCTTCAGCTAAAAACAAAGTAAGAAGAGTATGAGGGAGGCCAGTTACGAGGAAGTGACCAGGAGAATCATGGTAAACAAGTGTAAGGTTTGTTATGCAGATACATGTCCCTGTCTTCTCCATTTTTAATATTCTCTTGTGAGTTGGGGTCATCATTTTCTTGGTACAGAGAAGGAAATACTCTTACAAATGGAGATTTCCTTTATAAATATAAATTTCCCTTGTAAAATGGTTACTTCTACTCTGTCTCCAGAGCTTCTCCTGTGTCTGCTGTTTATCAAAATAATTAGCTCAAAATAATCCTTATGCCAGAGGTGTATTTTGGGGTGGCATATTCTGGTCTCCTACAATACAAAATTACAACATCCAGGCAAACTTCTGACCAGGCAATCCCTTTAAAATTATAACATGTCTGTTGTCTTCCATTTATTAAAAGAGTAAACACCCCTTGTATTCTTTTACATATTTTTAAAGGTCAATGATTTAAAAAACAATGACTGGGTAGGTAGGTAGGTAGGTAGATTTTCTTTCAAGTGAACAAGTAAATGGAAGACTTTATTATCATTCACCAAGAAAATAAAAGAGTAAAGATCCCATGAAATCAGTGTTTTAACAGATCTGCTTGCTAGAGATGCAATTTCATGAGAACCTGATGCTGGATCATTGCTAACAGTAACATTTTTCTATAAAATGTGCAACTCTGGGGGCGCCTGGGTGGCGCAGTCGGTTAAGCATCTGACTTCAGCCAGGTCACGATCTCGCGGTCCATGAGTTCGAGCCCCGCGTCGGGCTCTGGGCTGATGGCTCAGAGCCTGGAGCCTGTTTCCAATTCTGTGTCTCCCTCTCTCTCTGCCCCTCCCCCGTTCATGCTCTGTCTCTCTCTGTCCCAAAAATAAATAAATGTTAAAAAAAAAAAAAAATGTGCAACTCTGGTGCCTTCTTAGTGCACTGGACGGTGCATCAGTCTCATGGAAAATGTGCAACTCTATTAAAAATTTTTTTCACATTATCTAGTTTTAATTTTATGTAGTATTACTTGTTCTTTATAGTATTTTACATTTATATTAGTAAAAGATTAGACTTTCCATAATATCAAGCATGTATATAGCATAAATGTTAAACTTTTGTGGGCTAATTAAAATATATTTGCATTTCTTGGAGATTGTGCAATGAATCTGTCAAGCACTACTTTAAAAAACTAAATTAGGCATTAACTCGTAAACACCATCTATTCAGATGAACAATCTTAAAGCCTTTTGAATTTAGTTCTAGACTCTGGATCTGCAGTTCATCTATACTCTCCGAACCCTCACTCTACCTCATAAGGCTTATTGTGAAGCTCAAATGAGACAAGGGCTACAAAATTGAGAAATTTTATTTATCTATCCATCTATTTATTTACTTTATTTCTAAGATTTTATTTTTAAGTAAAGGTCTACACCTGATGTGGAGCTTGAACTTAAAACCCCGAGATCAAGAGTCACATGCTCTACCAACTGAGCCAGCCAGGCGCCCTGAGAAATATTAACTGCTAATTTGTTGCTCAACTTCTTTAACTCCTCATTTTTTCTTTCCTTCCTATTTCTTCCTCCCTACTTTGTAAGAGAAGATTATGCTGCTCAAGTAAGAATGCTTTATTAAATTTTGGTAAAAAATTAGAAGTTATTTGAACAATTCCTTAAAATTTTCAGAAAATGTTCACATTATCTTTATTAAATACATTTGCAAAGAGCATAATTAGAAGAGTTTCCAGGTAATTTTGGTAGAGATTATTCAATTCTAGTTAAGATGATTATTTTAGAATGTCCAAGAGAAAACAGTTGAGGGAGTACATATTTATGGAACTACTTTATTTCCACTTAAAATATAGAATATAAGTTACAATGAAAGTTTAAAATGTGAATGAAAAATGAATGGAAGATAATTTTTTTAATGCATAATGCTAAAAAAGACTGACTACATCTAACATATAAATACCCTAAATTTGGACATTCTGTTAAAATTTAAAAAAAAATTTTTATTATGTTTATTTATTTTTGAGAGGCAGAGAGAGACAGAACATGAGTCGGGGAGGGGCAGAGAGAGAGGGAGACAGAATCAGAAGCAGACTGCAGGTCCTGAACTGTCAGCACAGGGCCCAACGTGGGGCTCAAACTCACGAACCATGAGATCATGACCTGAGCCGAAGCCGGATACTCAACCCACTGAGCCACCCAGGCGCCCCTCTGATAAAATTTTTAAATGTATTTTTGAATAGGTATTAAACGCATATGGCATAAAATCTAAAGGGTACAAATATAAGTACAATGAAAACTAAGTCTTCTTAGTTTCCTAATTCCTCAAAAGATGTCATACTTCTCTGCACCTTGCTTCTTTCACCTGACCATATGTCTTGGCCAAATTTTAATTAGGAGGTAAGCATTTCACTTGTTGTTCAAAAGAAGTTTACTTAAGGAATATTTACAAGATAGGATGGGTCACAGGAAAACAAAGGTATCCTAAGAATTTATTCTAAAGAGTTTTATAACTACCATATTAAGTAAATATGCAGCAAAATGTTTTCTTTCTTTTTTAATTAACTGGTGAAGAAAGCTGCTTTGCATTAGTGAAGTCTTTGTCACAAAATATCTTTTTTTGTTACAAAATATCTTTTAAACAAAAGATGCTTTGCCTCTCAAGTATAAAAGTTAAGTCATACCATTCAAAAGAATTGAAATCTAATACGTATCCCATTTACTCTAATTAATTTTAAATTACTTATAATTAACATATTTTTTATATTAATGGATTTTTTAAGGTTTTAAGAATACTTAAAAACAATTCTCCTATATAGGTTAAGTAAACTCTGTTCAATCATTTTGAATACCAACTGTATACAAACTCTGTTCAATCATATTTATACTAGAAATTTTTACACTAAAAAAGTAAAGCTTTTGCTTTAAAAAAGGCTGTCAGCCAAGTCTCTGTTCAAATTACCATAAAATCTGAATTAATAGAGACAAAGTTAAGAGAGTCAATAAAAAGGAAAAAAACTTAGCAGGGGTCTTTTTGCCATTTACAGTTTTTCTCCTATGAACTAAACAAAAAGACAAGTCCTTAGAAGAGTTAAACTCATTAATGACTTACATACAGGTACACAGATTTAAAATCCTATGGATTTCCCCTGCCCATGCCCTACTTTGTGTTTTCTCTGCTTCTTGCCTAAACTATTATAATAACTTGCTCACTGGTCTCTCTCTTCCTCTTCCAATGGGATTCCATAAAAAGAAAAAAATAAAGGGTCTTTGTAGTAAAAACCAAAAAAAAAGCTACAGATAGTGACTGTACTTACCATGGTGAGCACTGAGTAATGTATAGAATTGTCGAATCACTAAGTTGCACCCCTGAAACTAACATAACATTGTAGGTCAACTATACTTCAACAATAATTTTTTAATGAAATAAAACAAAACAAAAACAGCTTGGAAAGTCCTAGGTTAAATGTTAAAAAAAAAATTTTAACCTATAGTAGTCCTTACTGCCTTTAATATTCCATGTGTATTGTGAATGCCCAACATACTATAGTATATAACCATTTCTTAATGTACTGGTGATAAACTACTGCGTCAGTCAAGGTCCTACTTTCCTTTTCCAACTTTATCTCCCATTGTGCTTCCAGACCCTGGAACGCTACAACTCTGACACCTCTGTGCCTCTGTCTTTGGTGCCTCACCCTCTGCAGTGTCCTTCCTGTCATCTCTACTTCTTGAAATCACACCTAGCCATAAAGGAATAGGATCAAAAGGTACCTACTCTAAGAAGTCATTTCAAATTCTCCCCAATGTATTTTCTATATCCCCCAAGTATTCGATAACTTTATTAAAGCATTTATTTATCTACCTTAGGGTTATCCTGTAAATATAACTTTCTTCATCACTAAATTGTAAGACATGGAAAACAAAAACTGCCTGGTACACAATTGGTATTCAAAACACTTACAAATTGAAACAGTGGTTTTAATTTTCCCCAAGAGTGCCTGAAAATAGATCTCACTGTATTATACAAATACACATAAACCTGCAAAACTGGTAGAACAGATGTTATCACCTCCCACCACCTCCATTTGACAGATTATAATCATCATTATTATAGTAAACAGTTAACATTTCTTCAACATTAACTATGTGCCAGCTACCCAGCTAAGTTCTTTACATAATTTTTTTCACTTAATCCTAAAAACAATCATATAAGGTAGGTTCCCATTATTGTCCCCAACTTACCCCCAAATCAGATGAAGAAACTGAAGCTCCAAGGGGTGAAGTTACACGCCCAAGGTCTGACTGCCAGTCAGTCAGGGTTAGCAAGTGGCAGAGCTTAGCGTGAAGTCCAGCTCTGACTACTAAGCTCATCCTGTTAACTGCTACTCTTTTCTGCCTTTCAATATTTGCCCAAGTAATTCCCACTAATAAACCATGATGCTAACTGCAGTTCATTTAAACTTGGTAATAAAAAGTATTATCTAGCTTCAAAGATCTCAAAATTCACTAAAATAAAATCTGACATCTATACTATTGAACCATAACTGCAACATGAAAATGAAAGAATTACTTACTTGCACAATTTGCCTTCTGCCATGTGGAGTTAAAAAACTCAGACAGAATCACAACTATCTGCATTCTATCTGCCATTAAGAGGCTTCTGGCACAACTATGACTCTCTGACGTATTCTGTAACAACAACAAAAAGGTAGAAAAATATAATCTGAGTACTTTTAGACTTCCTAAACAACAACATAAGGCAAAAGTTCTCATAAAAATAATTAAAGGATTAGAAGCATTTTAACTATTTGATATAAGGAAATAATGACATAATTAATAATCATAATAAAAGCAGCTAATATTTACTGGTACCAGGTTCACTAGCAAGGGAAGAAAATCTTTGCTTCTTAAATAAATATTTGCTTCTATTAAACAATCTCAACCATTTAGGCCCAAATTGTGTCTTGTTTCTTGCTTTTTACACATAGGAAAAAATTCTGGAAGGCTTTCATCAAAATGTAGCACTGGCATTATCTCTGAATAATGGAAATATGGTGATTTTTATTTTCTTTTTTGCCTCATTTACACTGCCTAAATTTTTCTACAATGAACATATATTATTTACATAATTTCTTTAATCTCGGTAAATGATCACACATTTGAGTTTTATCTTCTGGGCAACTTTTGGTGCAAAAATCTTATAATCCACAAGACAATGTGACACATCCAATTTGTACCCAAATAGTTTATACCCAGATAGAATGAATATGCTTTCCACAGGTCATCTGAATAATAAAACTCACACTACGCAAATAAATAAATCCAAGTCCCTAAACTATTTGATCCTTATCTATTCCTTTTCCCCTTTGTCCCAAGAAAGGAATTAAGTCATGCTGACCCTTCATTCTTTCAAAGCTATTTAACTCCTACTACTTACCAAGCACTGTAAGAATCCTGGAGTTTTGAGAACACAGAAAGTGTAAGGGAATGCCATAAACACTGGGACTTCAAGAACCTCCCCAGATTAACTACCAAGTCTTGTCAAGACTACATTCTACATGGCTCTGAAATCTGTCCATTTCTCCCCATCACAATGGTCTAACCACCATTTACCACATCACTGCAAGAGTCTCTTAATTCACCTCTCCACACCTACTCTTCCTCTACCCTCCTCAGTCTGTCTCCTCCACTTTCTCTCATGTAACCAGGATGGTTAATGTACGAATCTCATCGTGTCATTCTACAGAATTAAACCTCTCAATAACATCGCACTGCTTCAACATCAAAGTCTAACCCTTAAACATACTCCCACCAGGCCCACATGACCTGGTACCTGCCTACTTCTTCAGGCTCAGGTCACAGGTCTCCTTCTGGCTCATAGTACTTTGAGTTCTTTCTAGTGCTCAAACACACCAGACTCAGTCTTCACACCTGTTACTTCTTTTGGACGTATACCTTCTCTTCCCCGCCCCACACCCTCCCAGATTTTAGGTATCAGCGTTAACCGCTGACCACTCTACCTACCACCAGCCCTAGTCAAGATCAGCTCCCTTGTTATATGCTTTGGTAGCATCTGGGTTTTTTTTTTACTTGGCAACACTGATCACACCTGAATTAAGTAATTACTTGTATTATAATATAGTTAATGCCTGTTTTCCCTACCAGACTACAAGGTTTGCTCATTCACAGCTATATCCCTAGTAACTACCACTGGCCTGCATATAATACTCAATAATTTTCTTGAATGAATGCATTAGAAGCATTATTTTCTGATTGCTAATGAAAGATACAGATTATTATGTTATTCTATGTTGATTCTCCCCCTATATTCTTAAGAATTTGTGTATTAATCTATACTGAAAAAAAGTATGTTGACCACTTCCAGATACATACCCCTAATCACTAGCACCTTCATAAATACATATACATATCTATCCATTATCTATATCTATGTACACTTTAGACAAACCAAGCAGAATGAGATAGAGCTAAGCAATTCAGAGTTGGGGGGGGGGGCAAAGCATCCTGGCAACTTCTCTGAGGATGCTGAACAGCTCAATGAAACCACCATCCATTTAAATTAAAAGAAAAAAATACTGACTGTAAGGAAGAGGGAATCAGTCAGTTCTGTATTCTTTACCTTCAGATAATAAAACCATATGCAGGCCTTGTCTCAATAATTCCAAGAGGAACTGATAAGAAAACAGAATTCTTATCAGACAATTCTATTATAGTTAAATGAATTAGCTTGCTGTACCAGAGAAACAGCTTGCTAATTTCTACCTTAGATTCTTTTTCTCCTTGTTATACTCCCCTCCTCTCTCAATCAACCCATGGACATGGATTTGGCCTAAAGAGATGATAAAGGATATCTTGTTCAAAATTCAGCTCATAGGTTTTCTCTGATTAATGCCCCCTTGCTCTGTTCCCTCCTTTAATTCAGTATCTCCTTCACCCTTCTGCTGTAAATTGCTATTGTATGAATTATAACATTCACATTGATGATGGTTTTTTTCCTTTTTTCTTTTTCACAAAAGAGGTTTATCTCTCCAACTGATAGTTTGGAGCTTGGGCCTTATCCTTCTTTTCCTCCTGTATCGTTTTACCAGCCCGATATTTAAAAATACCATGTCCCGAATTAAACTCATTTAAATGAAAGACTGAGTTTATGTGAGTCAAAGAAAATACATTACTCTTGAGAAATACCCCCTCCGTGCCCGCCCCCCCACACACAGAAAGGACAACTGATTCCTTCCAGTTCACTCATAAGAAACTCAGAACACTTTTTTTCCAGAAGTTCATTATTACACATGATGATTCAATTCCAGAACCAATCCAAGGAAGCCTATAAAATCCATGAAGTGGGGTGCCTGGGTGGCTCAGTCGGTTAAGCGTCTGACCTCAGCTCAGGTCATGATCTCACAGTTTGTGAGTTCAAGCCCCGCATCAGGCTCTGTGCTGACAGCTGGAGCCTGGAGCCTACTTCTGTTCTCTCTCTCTCTCTCTCTCTCTCTGCCCCTCCACCGCTCATGCGTGCTCTCTCTCTCTCAAAAATAAACAAACATTAAAATCCATGAAGTAACTCAGAACTGTAAAAATCATGCTTCTGAGCTAGCAAAGCACATCTAGCTCTACTGAGGAAAGGGAAAGAGGTCAAGGTCTAGGATGTTAGGAATTCCAGGTTGGGTAAAGGGTTTTTCTGCCTTTTTAAATCTCTTTACTCTCTTCCTTTCACACAAGGGTGAGGTGAGTCCGGTGCCCAGATCCACTGGTAGAATCTGAGAGGCACCTAATAAAAAAAAAAAAAAGAATCTGAGAGGCACGAATGAAAGGAAGGAAGTTTCTGCCATCCCCTACCCAAGAAATTCTCTCTTGGGCAGTGAGGAATTCATGTGGAAATTCATACACAGAATGGGTGATGGGTACCACTAGAGTTTGGGGTAATTTTTTAACTTTTTCTTAATTCCACTGTATCTACACAAATGAGGAAAGCATTTGCTCCCTCAAAAGATCCAAGCTTTGCATCATGATTCAGTCATGTTGGCCACAAAACAACTCACTTAATTGCTCAAAACAGATATGATGTCATATCATACCTTGCTATCGTGACAGGGACGAGTCTTGGGTGCTATATTTTAAAATCATAGGAATATAGATAGATGGATAGATATCCACCTTGTTACACCTAACAGAAGTATGCCTGAAAAATACTGAAGCCTAAGTTTAAGCTATGTTAAAATTAAACACAAATGGAGACCAGACTTGAATATTCCCTGATCAGGCAAAGCCAGTTTAGTCACACAAACAAAAACTTAATTTAGCTTACTTTGCAAGACAAGTGAAGCTATCTTGACCTGGGCTACTTCTTGTTTATCCCTTTGAAAATCATAAGCCAGACTTAAACTGTTCTCCCAAATTGATATGAGGTAACCACTAACCAATTCTCTTTCAGAAAATTCCTATGAAAAATAAAAAGAAAATTCCTATATTGTAACCAACGCTGTGAAGAATTAACAGTGACCATTCTATACTATGTAAACTGCTTTATAATAGTGTATCTCTGAGCCTCATTCCATGTTTTGGTTTGAGTGCTTTCCAGTTCATACTGTCTTTTTTGGTGTGTGCACAATAAATTTTACTAATTACTACTTTGGTGATTCATTGGTTTTGTTTTTTTTCCAAACTTGACAACTACCTTTAAAACTAGCTCTTTACAGGAAGATTGACCTCATATTTATTTAATGCAAATAAATTTCCTATATATGTTTAAAAAAAAAGATTTACCTTAAGGAATATCAGGCTGACTTAAAGCAGGATGCAATTCTATATAAGTTTTTGTCAAATCAACTATGATTGATGAAATAATTCCAATCACATTTTCGTGAGACTACTTGTCCCCTCAATACAAGAGGAACTTTCCCCCTCCACAACCCTAATGTCATTCCTCATGTTTTTCCTTTACAAGGCATATCCGGCCCACACCTCATGACTCCTACCAGCCCTGACACTCTTATCCTTTCCTACTCTAGACCCTATAAAATTTCTTATTAGTTAGGAACACGTATTCTTTCTCTTTCTTTCTTCCTTCCTTCCTCTTTTCTATTAAACCCTTCACAGGACCTACCACATGACCAGAAAAGCACTAAGGGTATAAAGAATGGAGGATAGATATAATATCATTTCCTAAAATTTTAACTCCCATTTACTGAGAACTATTACTATGTGCTAGTTTTCTAAGAGCTCCTTTCATCTTACAGATAAGAATACAGACAATGTAAGTCATTTGCTCAGAGTATATGGCTAAAAGATGAACTTTCATATGTCAGCTCTTGTAATTCTTGTAACAGTCACAACAGGCGGCTGTTTTTTCCATCTTACCGAGGGGTCTATACTAAGTCTATACTACACTAAGTCCATACTAAGACTATAAATAATTAATCCAAGACCAAGCTGCTATAAAGTAGTGCATCTGATATTTTCTGGCTACCAAGCTCAATCTTCCTAAACACTGCCATACTAGAGTTTCTCCACTCTACTTGGAGTTTCAGGAAAGGGTCCTTTCTGGGAACACCAAGTAGAGATGGGAAGAAGCTGTATTGGAGTGGGGCGAAGAGGGTAAAGGAGGGAAGGGAAAGGAAAAGTGGGGTTAAGGGTGTAGGAGACCCAAGAAAAACAACCATACCTATCTGCAAATATGTACCAAGCTGCCCAACAGCAGCTACGGAGGCAAAAATCGAAACTCCAAGCCCTATAATGCCACCCACTTTTCTGATGCCCCAAACTCCACAATCCCAGTCCAACCCTTTTTTCTTACAAACAGGAAAACTGAGCCCCCCCCCTCCCCGAGTTACCATCATTACATCCTCCTTTCCCAACCCTCCACGCCGGATGTCCAGGGGGGTGCTCCGCTACCCACCCCCACGGCTCGACTGATGTTGTCCATCTTGTTCGCGACCTGTTGGAAGAGGGGATAGCAGGTCTGACAGAGGCGCACTGGCCGGGCGCTGCGCACTAAGCACCCGGTCAGCTCTGCGCTGCTGTTGGCGAAGTCCAGTAACAGCTCCCGACACTCGGGATCCAGATCCGGCAGGTCCGGGGGTAACGACAGTGGCCCCAGCCTTCCGCCCTGCAGCAGGGTCAGGGACAAGTCCTCCACCTCCAGCAACTGCTGCTCCGACAGAAGGTCGTGGAGGACCCTGTGGGGGCTGCTGACCACGGCGAGCGC